CAATATATTCCAACACCATATGGACATTTGGGGAATTGAAGACTGATACCTCTGTAAAGTACGTAGAAATGTTGGCACTCTCTGTAAAAAGAACCTTCAAGTGAAAAAGAGAGAAGGAATTCCCCCTATGCTGGAGGTACTTTTTTAAATTAGCTGAATGGATGGTATATTGGTGAGAGAAATGCCCAATGTCTTACATCAATTTTAGGGTTGGAAATGTCTGTTTCTTGTAATTTGGCCTGAAACTTATTTGAAATTTTATCGCAAAATGTCCCCATGTCCAGTCAGTACCCCCTCATGTTGGGCCTTTTTTATTAATATTTTACGGGAAAATAAGTGTCCCTATGTCGAATTGTCCGCATGTGGGGGTCTCTCTGTATATCTTCATTTGTTCAAGTTTAATTTTTTCAAATCATCTGCATTACACTCAGTACTGTAATGTATTTCGCTAAATTCAGGGTTTTCCCAAGGAATTACCGAATTTTGCGAATGAATATGATCTCAGTTGGTAGAGCGGTGGACTGTAGAGTTTCAGCTTTAATCCATAGATAACTGGTTCAAATCCTGTCCAGAGGAAATTTTTTTCCGTCTCTTTCACTTGTTTTTATAATTTGAGCTGCTTGAATTCACGTCTTGGAGTATTTATTTGATTTTTTGCTTTTTCCAGGTTTGTATTCTTTTAGTGATTTGGATCTCTCTGCAATTATTCATCTACCGCAGAGGAATGCTGGTGGTGTCACGGCTCTGAAATTTTCGGCTGACGGAACACGGTTGATTTCCAGCTCCAGAAATGTGAGATTTTTATTATGTGGTTATGTTGGATTTGAATACATTTTTCATGTGTGTTCTGTTCCAGGATGATGCGATTCGCTGTTGGGACGTTCGCATGTTGGTTGACGAACCGTTTTGGATTCTGAATCGTCCAGCGAGAACCTCGCAACGCTTCCATCTAGATATCGATCCGAGTGGTCGATATTTGACTTCAGGTTTTTTATTTCTTCCTTTAAATTTTGTGACAGTATTTTTTAGAAGTGTGTGTTTTATTAGGTTCGTCTGACGGAGATGTATTTGTTTGGGACATTTCTTCAAATCCAGGAAGTCCGTCATTGGTGAAGACGTGGCGTGCTCATGAGGATTGCTGCACTGGTGTGAGGTTGGTGTTGGTTAATCCGATGATATTTTTTTGAAACTCATCCTGATTTTTCTTGGTGAAATTTTGTAGAAAATTGATTTTCTTTATGCAGTAAAACCTTACAACGAACTTTTGGACACTTCAGAATTTTTTTAAAGTACTCTACTGAATAATTTTGAATATTCTCGAAATTAATGACTGGAAAAAAGTTCACATCAGACCTGCCCATAATCAGTTAGATCCTGACATTCTCAGATATTTTTAATATTGTTCGAAAACTGAGTGATCTAGAAATAATTTGGCTTCAATCATGCGTTCCATCAATTTCACAAATCTGTTGATTATGGGGGGGGGGATGATGTTTTGAAAATTTGGAAGCAAGTTTCTCATACATTACAGTTTCAATCCTTGGCTACAAGAACCAGTAAGTTACATTTGGGTTCAGAAATTTCAGACTGTGCATGCCTTAGTCAGGAAATGTCTACCTGTCCTAGGGAATTTATTAAACATTTAAAACAAACAGAAGACCTTGTGCTTTAAATTAATTTTTACATATATTTTGTTTTCAATGTCAGGGAATGAATGGGTGTATGCATACATGTTGTGCTTTAAATTAATTTTTACATATATTTTGTTTTCAATGTCAGGGAATGAATGGGTGTAAGCATACATGTCAGATGTCCAGTTGTATTTCATGGATTGTATTTTCTTTTATTTTTGTTATCATTTGTGCTCTGAAGTGATTAAATGTTATTGAGTGGATTTGGGTTGGGTGGGAAGGGGGTTTGGTTTTTGGAAATCTTGATTGAGCCTTGTGAACGCTGAGAAGCGGCAAATGAAGTGTTCTGTTCATTCATATTAAAAAAAAATGTTTACACTGGAATTGGAAAGTTTGTTAGAACAAGATTGATTCCACATTTACTCCATGGGCTTTCAGCTCGGACTTGATCAACAAATTTGGTATATCTGAAAAATTGTTGTGACGAGATTTTACTGTAGTCGCTGAAATGCAGGCATTAAAACGTGAATTATCTTCCGGATCTAGTTTTCATCCATCGATTGCGATCATGTGCACGGGGTCTGGCCAAAGGCATCGGCTAGGTTTCATACCCGCGAGAAATGGCGTGGATTCAACAGATTTGGCTGACGACAGCGAATTACCGAAATGTGATAGTGTTGAAGAGAATTCCTTGAAGCTTTGGTGGTGTGGTGAATACGCCGCAGAAACTACCTCTGAACAATGATTGATTTGAAAAATTGTGATATTTTTTGTTTCGTTTCGGCCGGGTTTCACCTTTTGCGATACTTGAATGTTTTATCGAGAGTTTTTGTGGCTGATCCGTTTAGTGTGAGGCTCGTTTTCATCGCATTTTGGTGTGAGTCAGTGCTGTTTTTTTTTATAATTTATTCATTTTGTTTGTTTGTCTCTTTGACAGGTTCTTTTTGGTCGCGTGAACCGCGTAATGTTGTAAAGATTACTTGACAAATAGCGTAACGAGCGAATTCATTGTGAGTATTTTTGCCTATTCTTTTGCAAAAGAAGAGGTTTTGATGCGATGGTTTTGTTCACAGGAGGAACCACATCTTCGGACACCATGTCGGATGTTGAGGGGTGTGTGATTCATGAAATTTATCCTTTAGTTTCTTTTTAGGTTTTTATTCCTTTTTTTCTTGCTGAAAATTGTCATTGTCTTCGAAATTTGAGATCATTTGTGGAATTCGTGAGGGCTTTTGATGAAATCGAATCCTGGTTCTGCGTTCCAGTGAATACGTGGAAGGGTGCTCGAGTTTGTTGCTGTCAGTTCGATTAACGGAGTTGAACAAGTTATTAATGTAGAATTTATTTACAAATTGAGTACCTGAAGACTCGGTCTCGTTTCCTGAAATGTCGGCAGGTCTCGCCTGTTGCGAGATGCTAAACGTGACCCAATGTAACTCAATAGAATTTTGGCGAAATCCGTGTGCTGAAGAAAATCGTTGGTTTGGGGGATCAGGTTTTGATAATGTGCCAAGAAATCAGATTCTTTCATTCTATTTCTTGTGAAAGTAAGAAATCTCGCCAAAAGGTGATAAGATTGCTCCCATATTGATTCAGGAATGTCTGTCTTTCTCATCTTGGGTCAAACCATTTTTTTTATGCTCCGCCGGAATGATGGAATGTTGCTTCGTCCCTAACCGGGTTTCTTGATCCTAACTGTTTGTTTTGGGTCTGTTCGACTTTTTATATTTGATTAATGTGATTTCAGAGATGAAGTCGCGGCAGTGTTGGGCGGAGGACCCATGGATGCCGATTCAGCCCTTCAAGAAGTTCTGAAGACTGCCCTGGTACATGATGGACTTGCACGTGGACTTCGTGTTGCCGTCAAAGCATTGGACAAGTACTTATTTTTCTCATCTGTGATCGTTAACATATGTGTTGCATTGCTGTAGTACAGTACAACAAACATATCACCGTATGTCAGTGTTCTCCAACCTTTTTGGGCCCGCAGACTGGCAAATTTCCATAAAAATGTTTGCTCACTGGCAAATTTACCAAAAATGTTCTCCAGACCAGCAAAGTTTTGTAACACTTTTGTAGACTCAGAAAATGTTTGCTTGACAGACGTTATGGAAGGTATTTAAAAAGTTTTTGCTTCTTTGCAAAAATTGGGTTAAGACTCAATAAATCAGCTGTAATGGAAAGTCTTGAAAAAAATGTTAGAAGTTGGCTTGGTTTCTCAGAAGGAAGAATTAAAGTAATTTATTTCAGAAGGTAAAAATTTGTCTGGAGTGCTATTATGAGAAGAGTCTACTTTTATTCTCCATCAGATATGTCAACTGCCATGTTTGTCAAAAATTTCAGAAAAATATAAGATTCACTTCCACTTCAGATAAATTTATGATGCTGAAGAAAATTCATCTGGATCAGCAGGAAACTTCTGCAGATTTGTGGTGGTCTGAAGACCATGGGTTGGGGAACACTGCCTTATGCCATGAAACACTCAGAATTCAAGATTAAACTGTTTCATTGCATGCTCAACTGTCAACTATAAAGCTGTTGTGGGCCCAGTGTATCCCAGACAAAGGAATCAAGTGAAGTTCATTCATCTGAGTTTGCACATCTTGTAGGACCCAACTCTTTACAGAGGAGAGTTTCTTCTTGATGCTAGAGTTGAGATTTTCATGTGGCTGTTGTATTGAGAAATATTGGCTCAACTTCTACTTGCTTGATGGCTTGGTTAGCTCAGGTGAATGAGTACCATTCTAATTTAACATTAAATGCTCACTTGTGCCTTGGCTGACTTGTTCCATCCCAAGGAGGAAGGAAATGCTTTTATAGCTGGGTGATTGTTGTGGGTCAGGGAAGAATATGCTGATTTCTTCCTGGTTCACAATTTGGCCAATGAAGAAGTTATGACCACTTTTTTGCACTTGAGTGAGGCTTAGTAAACTTTGCCAAACAGGATTTTGATAAGGTTCACAAGCCAGACAAACAGGGTTCTGCTGCCCACAAAGACAGCAGAAGTTCCTTTGGTCAGGTGTGGAATGTGGCGCCATCTTGGGGCTATGACAAAAGCTGCTCATGTTCAAGTAATGTTTATATGGTTCATAGAAGAATCATCTCTTGAAGAATAATGTAACCGGTGGAATTTCGAAAATTGAAATTTTGTTTGTAGTTTCAATCATTAATTATAATGTAGGAAAGATAATGGTTGAAATAAAATTTAAATTTTTTAGCTGGCCTGAAAATTTTTAAACATCTTTTTACAGTAGTAGAGAACTCTGGTCTGAGTGGAAAGTTTTCACTAATCAACATGCAGTGAATTGAAAACGTTTTTCATTTTAAAAATCCCATAATCTCACATTGTGTGCTATAGAAGTTTTTTTAATGTTCAAACCGACTCCTGAAACTATCAAGGTCGCGTCCAAGTGGGACAACGCCGGGTAATTTATTTCTTGCATCCAAGGTTTCACGTTGTTTCGTTATGAAAACATTGATGATGATTCATCCATGATTTTCAGGCGGCAAGCTTTGCTTTGTGTGCTGGCCAACAGCTGCGACGAGGAGCTCTATAAGAAACTGGTGACCGCTCTCTGCTCCGAACATGGCATACCGCTGCTGCACGTGGACTCCAACAAGATGTTGGGCGAGTGGTCGGGCCTGTGCAAAATTGACAAGGAGGGCAAGGCTCGCAAGGTCGTAGGAAGCTCATGCGTTGTCATCACGGTGTGTTTTTTGCTCTCCAAATAATACAATACCTAGTTGGACAAATTGTTGTCAGCCATATGCTTCTGTTTAGCGTGCCTTGATGTACATGCTAGGGTTATTGGCCCCACTTGGGCGCAACCTGGGTTTTTTTAAAAGCTGGTATGACAGTAAATAATTATGATATTGCCCAGTGTTCCCCTGCCCGTGGTCGGCGGCACGGTGCTGGTCCACAGACTTTTTTGCCGCCCCGCTGGCATTTTCTTCAACATGATATATTGTATATCAATGGTAGTAATGAAGTCTGTTATATTTATCTGAAATTTTTGGAAAGACAGTTAAATTTTTGTAATGGCAGTTGAAATTATCTGGTGAAAAACAAAAGTTCAATTCTCTCCCAGTAACACTTGAGACAAATTTTCACTTGCTGAAATAAATTATTTTATTTTTCATCCATAAAATCCTTTCTTCAAGCCCACTTTTCTAAATTTTTGAAGACATTCTACCATAGCTGTTTTATTGTTTCTTGATGTTATTTTTGTGAAAAAGTGGGAACTTTTTAATGCCTGCCATAAAGTCTTTCAAACTAAACTTTCTCAAGTCTTCAGAAATTGTATTTAACTTTACCAGTCTGCAGAAAATTTTATGGAAATTTGCCAGTCCTTGGGCCCAAAAATATTGGGGAACATTGTTATAGCCCATGACATTGTAAGGCTCTACAATGTTTTTCAGATTTTTAACAACACATTTCAATTTACTGCATGTTGGTAAAGGAAAATGTTCCAATTATGGCCAGAGTTCTCCACTCATGTCACAGGGTGAGGGTGCTAAAAATTTGTCAGGCCAGCTTAAAAATTGAAATTTTTCTTGTTTTGTTTTAATCCTTATCTCTTCAAGATTTCAAATGCAGTTATGGTCAAAAGAAGGAATAATTTTCAGCTGGTGTGACACATTTTTAGCTGTCTGTGTGACATTGTTAAACTCTGCCCATGACTGGAAACTATTCACATAATTTTCATGCATTAATTTGAAATTTATTTTTAATTTCAATTTTAGAAATTACCCGGTAGAAATTCTCTAGCCAAGTCTTGTTATTCGAGCCAGAATAATTTTGCGGCGAATCTGGCGCGCAAAAAACTGGATTTAAAAGTGTAATACGTGTATGTTAATTAAAATTTAGGAACATCCCCTTTCATGTTCCAATTTTGGAGGCAAATGAAGTTTATTTTGGTTTGCGTTCGAGTTGGAAAATTCTAGAGTTTATGTTTTGATTTCAGGATTGGGGCAAAGAAACACCCGCCTTGGACTTCTTGAAGGACCATATGCGACAGAAGGGGTTGGTTCCTGTTTGAGTAATGTTGAAGACAAGGCTGAGATTGGATAAACTGCCTTCTGTTGGATGAAGAACTGGTTGTCTCTTTCATTCCCCCCAAATTTTCTCTCCAAGAGCGAACACATTGACTGCGAGCGTCATCTATAAAACACATTATCAAGAAGAGGAGTAGGGAAAATAAGGTGGAATAGGTTGATGTCGCTGTTTGATTAAAATTCGATTTCACTCTTTGATATACAGTACTGTAATCGGGTATTCAGAAGTGCAGTTCTGCGTACAGTATATAGTTGAGCCAATCCATGACAAATCTCCCCTGAATCACTTTTGTAGACTCAGAAAATGTTTGCTTGACAGACGTTATGGAAGGTATTTAAAAAGTTTTTGCTTCTTTGCAAAAATTGGGTTAAGACTCAATAAATCAGCTGTAATGGAAAGTCTTGAAAAAATGTTAGAAGTTGGCTTGGTTTCTCAGAAGGAAGAATTAAAGTAATTTATTTCAGAAGGTAAAAATTTGTCCGGAGTGCTATTATGAGAAGAGTCTACTTTTATTCTCCATCAGATATGTCAACTGCCATGTTTGTCAAAAATTTCAGAAAAATATAAGATTAACTTCCACTTCAGATAAATTTATGATGCTGAAGAAAATTCATCTGGATCAGCAGGAAACTTCTACAGATTTGTGGTGGTCTGAAGACCATGGGTTGGGGAACACTGCCTTATGCCATGAAACACTCAGAATTCAAGATTAAACTGTTTCATTGCTCAACTGTCAACTTTAAAGCTGTTGTGGGCCCAGTGTATCCCAGACAAAGGAATCAAGTGAAGTTCAGTCATCAGAGTTTGCACATCTTTTAGGACTCTTCACAGAGGAGAGTTTCTTCTTGGTGCTAGAGTTGATATTTTCATGTGGCTGTTGTATTGAGAAATATTGGCTCAACTTCTACTTGCTTGATGGCTTGGTTAGCTCAGGTGAATGAGTAAAATTATAATTTAACATTGAATGCTCGCTTGTGCCTTGGGTGACTTGTTCCATCCCAAGGAGGAAGGAAATGCTTTTATAGCTGGGTGATTGTTGTGGGTCAGGGAAGAATATGCTGATTTCTTCCTGGTTCACAATTGGGCCAATGAAGAAGTTATGACCACTTTTTTTGCCCTTGAGTAAGGCTTAGTAAACTTTGCCAAACAGGATTTTGATAAGGTTCACAAGCCAGACAAACCGGGTTCTGCTGCCCACAAAGACAGCAGAAGTTCCTTCGGTCAGGTGTGGAATGTGGCGCCATGGGGCTATGACAAAAGCTGCTCATGTTCAAGTAATGTTTATATGGTTCATAGAAGAATCATCTCTTGAAAAATAATGTAACCGGTGGAATTTCGAAAATTGAAATTTTGTTTGTAGTTTCAACGATTAATTATAATGTAGGAAAGATAATGGTTGAAATAAAATTTAAATTTTTTAGCTGGCCTGAAAATTTTTAAACATCTTTTTACAGTAGTAGAGAACTCTGGTCTTGAGTGGAAAGTTTTCACTAATCAACATGCAGTGAATTGAAAACGTTTTTATAAAATTTTTAGGGTATTAGAGTGTAACACACGATATCTTCAAAAAAATTACAAGTTTGGCTGAGGACTTTGATAGTTCCAGCGCAGGTTCACCCTGTTGCGGCCCATTAAATAAAGAACGTAGGTTGGTTTCACGTTGTTTCGTTATGAAAACATTGATGATGATTCATCCATGATTTTCAGGCGGCAAGCTTTGCTTTGTGTGCTGGCCAACAGCTGCGACGAGGAGCTCTATAAGAAACTGGTGACCGCTCTCTGCTCCGAACATGGCATACCGCTGCTGCACGTGGACTCCAACAAGATGTTGGGCGAGTGGTCGGGCCTGTGCAAAATTGACAAGGAGGGCAAGGCTCGCAAGGTCGTAGGAAGCTCATGCGTTGTCATCACGGTGTGTTTTTTGCTCTCCAAATAATACAATACCTAGTTGGACAAATTGTTGTCAGCCATATGCTTCTGTTTAGCGTGCCTTGATGTACATGCTAGGGTTATTGGCCCCACTTGGGCGCAACCTGGGTTTTTTTAAAAGCTGGTATGACAGTAAATAATTATGATATTGCCCAGTGTTCCCCTGCCCGTGGTCGGCGGCACGGTGCTGGTCCACAGACTTTTTTGCCGCCCCGCTGGCATTTTCTTCAACATGATATATTGTATATCAATGGTAGTAATGAAGTCTGTTATATTTATCTGAAATTTTTGGAAAGACAGTTAAATTTTTGTAATGGCAGTTGAAATTATCTGGTGAAAAACAAAAGTTCAATTCTCTCCCAGTAACACTTGAGACAAATTTTCACTTGCTGAAATAAATTATTTTATTTTTCATCCATAAAATCCTTTCTTCAAGCCCACTTTTCTAAATTTTTGAAGACATTCTACCATAGCTGTTTTATTGTTTCTTGATGTTATTTTTGTGAAAAAGTGGGAACTTTTTAATGCCTGCCATAAAGTCTTTCAAACTAAACTTTCTCAAGTCTTCAGAAATTGTATTTAACTTTACCAGTCTGCAGAAAATTTTATGGAAATTTGCCAGTCCTTGGGCCCAAAAATATTGGGGAACATTGTTATAGCCCATGACATTGTAAGGCTCTACAATGTTTTTCAGATTTTTAACAACACATTTCAATTTACTGCATGTTGGTAAAGGAAAATGTTCCAATTATGGCCAGAGTTCTCCACTCATGTCACAGGGTGAGGGTGCTAAAAATTTGTCAGGCCAGCTTAAAAATTGAAATTTTTCTTGTTTTGTTTTAATCCTTATCTCTTCAAGATTTCAAATGCAGTTATGGTCAAAAGAAGGAATAATTTTCAGCTGGTGTGACACATTTTTAGCTGTCTGTGTGACATTGTTAAACTCTGCCCATGACTGGAAACTATTCACATAATTTTCATGCATTAATTTGAAATTTATTTTTAATTTCAATTTTAGAAATTACCCGGTAGAAATTCTCTAGCCAAGTCTTGTTATTCGAGCCAGAATAATTTTGCGGCGAATCTGGCGCGCAAAAAACTGGATTTAAAAGTGTAATACGTGTATGTTAATTAAAATTTAGGAACATCCCCTTTCATGTTCCAATTTTGGAGGCAAATGAAGTTTATTTTGGTTTGCGTTCGAGTTGGAAAATTCTAGAGTTTATGTTTTGATTTCAGGATTGGGGCAAAGAAACACCCGCCTTGGACTTCTTGAAGGACCATATGCGACAGAAGGGGTTGGTTCCTGTTTGAGTAATGTTGAAGACAAGGCTGAGATTGGATAAACTGCCTTCTGTTGGATGAAGAACTGGTTGTCTCTTTCATTCCCCCCAAATTTTCTCTCCAAGAGCGAACACATTGACTGCGAGCGTCATCTATAAAACACATTATCAAGAAGAGGAGTAGGGAAAATAAGGTGGAATAGGTTGATGTCGCTGTTTGATTAAAATTCGATTTCACTCTTTGATATACAGTACTGTAATCGGGTATTCAGAAGTGCAGTTCTGCGTACAGTATATAGTTGAGCCAATCCATGACAAATCTCCCCTGAATTTTCAACAGAAATCATTACTTCGTCTGAAAGTTATGAACTCTGAAACAACAATTGTACGGGTTTCTTTACAAGATTGATACTACTATATATCCAAACCGCGTACTGTACTTCGGAGTTTATCAGTAAGAAAGTTCGCTGAGGACTGTAAAGAGTTTTTGCAAACGCTTGTTGAAAAAAAACATAGGAATTGGCAGATGCGTGAACTCACACAGGATTTTGTGCCCAACAATGCAAATTTGTTCGAAGCAATAAATGGCAAGTGAAGAACAAGAAATAAAATTCCGAAGACAAATCAGCAAAGATTTGCATGAAGTGTTCATCAACAATTCTCGAATTCAAATTTTACGAATGCGCAGCGCTGACTTTCCAGTTGGAATAATGATCAGATCCTGGGGTAAGCTTCTATGGAATTTTTTTTACAGTGTTGGAAATAATGAAGTCTTTTGAAAACCTCTTCCGCTTTCCTATCCAGATGTTTAGAAAACTAGTCAATATGCTATTTTTCCTGTTTGCTGGGTGATGGAGGTTTTATAAGCTTGACATTTTGCTCTTTAAGTTGGTTTGTTGCTTCTAGTTTTGACAAATGAGTTCTAAAGCAAGAAGCTCACATACTTGTATTGCTGTACTGTACACACTTGATGGAGTAAATAAACCTTGTAAAGAGAAACACACTCACAAAATTGGTATGTTCGGGAAAATAATTGCTGTTCATTTACAATTTGATTCATTTTGACCGTGTATTGTCATCAAATAGCTCAAGTTGTTCAAGCAATAACATAAAAAACTGTTCTCTAGGAAAATCACTATAGTGGGTTTCACTCATTAATAATTGCAATGGCCAACCATTGCTTTTTCATCATTTGTCAATTCTCAATAAGTTCTCTTCTTGATCATCACAAGCAGAAGTCATAAAAACACAAAGTCATCAGAATGGGAATGATAAATTCACTGCTGCAGGTGAAAATGCGCCATGTTGAGCGCATAGCATCCACCTGACCATTGTGAATGATTAAAGTGTGAAACCCAATTTTGGGGAACCCAGTCATCCTCAAGAAATTTGCATGCATGGGGTCACAGAGCCATGAGGCTGGCACACAGCAAGCTTTGCTGCATCTGGATTCCGGAGTGGAGCAACATCTCCCTGTTATATTTTTGCCCTTCTCACCCCCACGTCCTGAATTTATGGAATGTGTGCACCTGCACCCTCCCAAATGCAGCATGAAGTTTGCTGGTTGAATTACTGGCCTTGCACCCCAGCATGTATCCCTGAAAACAGCTCTGGAGAAAAAAATAAGCTTAGTAGAAGGAGTTGTGTGACAACTTCTGAAAGTTTTCATTGAAGTTGTTCTTGTGTGGTACTACATCGTGAACCCCGGTATTTTGGAAAATGGTAAACTTTCTCCTAACTTGTCATTCGAAAGTAAACCAAAAAAAGTAACGACGTCGAACTAAACGATCATAACGATGACTCGATAAAACTGTCAAAAATTGGTTCACTTTTTTCTGGCCCACCCTGTAAAGTTCAGCAAGATAATTACCAAATTTTAGCTAAAAATAAAGTGTTCATAGGTAGAGGTCTATTATTTCACTTCTTGGATAAATCATTCACTGAACTTCTTTGTTAATTAGGCTTTTTATTCTGTTACAAATTGGCTGTATACTGTATACTAATGTATACTGTATTTTAAATTTCAGTAATTGTTACATGAAATTCAAAAAATTGGGCTCCATTTAAAGTGAAATTAAAAAATGCGCGACAGGATTAAATGTAGCGCTCTGTTACTACATTTTTCTTGTTTTGTAAGATCTAAGGGAAAATTTCTCACAACTTAAGTTAACTCGAATTGGTTCTAAGATACAGTACAATATTTGAGTTTAGCTATCTCCAAGAAATCCATCAATATGCGGATGGACGATGAGCGTCATCTATGATGCCTCCGTGGAACTTCAATCGTAAGAGTCTCCTGCATGTCAACTCTCGTTCATCCTTCTCTGTCTCTCCTTTCTGGATGGTGACATGCTGGATTCAAAGGTGGATGGACGATGAGCGTCATCTATGATGCCTCCGTGGAACTTCAATCGTAAGAGTCTCCTGCATGTCAACTCTCGTTCATCCTTCTCTGTCTCTCCTTTCTGGATGGTGACATGCTGGATTCAAAGGCGATCAACGCGGTCCCCCTTCTCTGTATCATCATCACCAGGCTCCCTTGTGCGTGTTTTATCCATTCCATCCGTGTTCGTTCATTCATCCATCCGACCCGTCTTACTTTTTTTCTTTTATTCCCGTTGTTTGTCCTCTTTTATTTCATATCAGCCCTCCCTCTTGAGCAGCTGCTGCGCGTCACGCACCAATTCAACAAGTCGCATTGGTCCGCGCCGCCCAATGAAGGCGCCGTGGGAGCCGCTTCTGCCCTCCTCTTGTGGGCCGCCGCTGAGGGCTGGGCGCCCCAATCCCAGCCTGTCTGGAGTGGCTTTTGATCGCCACTGATGAGGGCTTCCTTCCTTTTTTCCTTTCTTCTCCCCCCCCCCTCCCCACACTTTGCCATGTGTGAGAGTGTGTGATGTGTATGTGCAAGTGCACTTACATGTATTATAGTGTATAGTGACCTATTCTATGAAATTTTTGTTTGTTGGGAAAATAAGGCTTTGCTCTAAATTTTTTTAAAAATCCTATTAACAGTGAGACCCCATGATGCAGACATAGTTGGTGTATCAAGAGAGTGTTCTGATGTTGGAATTTTACTAAGTTGAGTCTAATTTTCCCTGATACTTCAATGTTAATGTATTTAATTGGTCTTCCTTTTTGTCAAATATTCAGGTACAGTATTTGATAATATGTGGTCAGTTCATTCCACTGTTGTTGCTCAAGTGCCAGTAGTAAGAGAATTAATATTACACGGGGAGGTAAAGTTTCTTATGTTAAACACTTTTTTACATTGATTCTGTACACAGAATGAAAACTGAGGGACCTTCTAACACTATGTCATAACGTTCTTAACGGTGTGCAGAAAATTGACTCTGGAACAAAGTTGAATCTGCATTCAGCAATTGTTCTTTGATTATGTGTGTTCTTTATCACCAATCTCCCATATTTCAGCTGCTTTAATTAAATCAAATAAATTTTTCTCCAAAGAAATTTCTCCAGATCCAAAATTTCCCCAAAATGAGGCCTAGGCAAGGTACAATAATAAGTCTTATGTACTGTAGTGCAGTAGTACATGGAAAAGTAAATATTTGGTATTACAGATAAACCTCAAAAAGTCAAACCTCCTAAAGTCAAACTCCTTTCTAAGTCAAATCTTTTTCAAGTCCCTGTCTGAATTCCCTTAGAATCAATGCATTAAAAAAAACTAAAATGATTTTTCCTCAAAAACCTCTGTAAGTTGAATTTTCTGAGGCCTTCTTGTTCTATTTTCTTGAAGTATGAAACAGAAAATCATTGAAACAAATAATTTGATGCATCTTGAAAGAAAGTAAAAAACTGATCAAACAAATGTACCCCTATCTCCAAGTTCATCAAGGTATAAACTCATTATAAGGAGCAAGTTTAGGCCCAGAATATCCTTATTTACAATTTCCCACACTTTTTTCACTTCTCCTCACAACAAAAGTGTATGTTTCCTTAACTGGAAACCTCCAAAAAACCAAAACCTCCCTAAGTCAAAACAATTTCTGAGTCAAAATTTTTTTCCTGGTCCCTATAAATTTGACTTACAGAGGTTCAACTAAATCAAAAATAACCATAGAATGGTAAGGTATTGAAAGAAAGAAAGATTGGCTCTCTCAGGAAATCTGCAATAATAAATGAGAAGTGCGGGATATTGTCATACATCTGATGTAAAAATTGCATTACTCTAAATATCAATGAGTAATAAAAACGTTATTTTACTGTGCTAACTTTAGAAATGTATTTAGAAAACCAGAAATAACTCAGGCGTCATCTACTCCGTCTTACGCGTGCTTAAAAATATACCGGAACTTATTTCCGGAAATCTCTCCTCCCACTGAACGAATCGCCTGCAGAATCGATTAAGTAACAAATACCGCATTTTAATAACGTTTTTGATGACAAAATAGGCAAATTATTTTCTGGATTTAAATTAATGAAATAGAATAGTCGCGATGCAATAGGTTTTACAATTTCATTGGAGAGAACCCATAACCAAGGAGTGACATCTATGCACCCACAACAAAAAAATTTCCCCAAGTTATAAGAACATTATGCGAATTATCAGATATGGTGGATTTCCTGAAAAGAACCAATAACATTTTTCATGGAAGACACCCACATATTCACTATATATAAACAAGATTAGTCTGAAAGGATTTCAAAAAATATATATTTTGATATCCTGAATTGCGCAGATGTAATAGGTTGTACTGGTGATGCCTTGCAATTCAACCTCCCACAATTTGACCATTCTGCAATTTGACAGTTCAATTTGCAGGGAGGTTGACTTGCAATTTGACCTCTGCCCTGGAATTTGACCTGCTTTGGCCACTTTTTCATTTCTTGTGCTGATATTTCTCAACTTTACAAAGTGTCTTGCAATTTGACTTCAGTTTGGCAATGGATTAAGATCAAATTGCAAGGTTCCACCTGTACAAAGTCATTGGAAAGAACCCAGCACCATGAGAGTGACATCTACACACCAACAACAGTATATTTAATGCATTAAAGGCTTCTTTAAAAGTAACTGTAGTGTAGGGGAACCTCTTAAAAGTTCCTTCAAAGACCAGTGAAGGTCAATTATTCTGGTTAACCTGTTGATCTTCTGAATTGAGATGCAGTTAACTTGCTCTAAACCGAAAAGAGTACAATAAACCCATAATCCTCATTACTGGTGGCAGCGGTTCTCTTTCCAGTAAGAAATTCACTCAAGAGAGTTTCGGATTACTTGAATAAGAGCATCTTTAGTAAAGAATTTTTTGCTTGGGAAATGGTGTTGCTTCTGATGCAACAAAAATTGTTGCAGTANTTGGTGTATCAAGAGAGTGTTCTGATGTTGGAATTTTACTAAGTTGAGTCTCATTTTCCCTGATACTTCAATGTTAATGTATTTAATTGGTCTTCCTTTTTGTCAAATATTCAGGTACAGTATTTGATAATATGTGGTCAGTTCATTCCACTGTTGTTGCTCAAGTGCCACATCATTCTCTTAATTATAATGTGCCCCTCCATTTCAAAGAATACAATTTGTGAAAAAATGTAACTAAGACATGTGTCTTACTTTTGACTCCCTGGAAGATTGTGATACAGTATTGCAAGAATTGCCAGTGCAGAAAATTGACTTTGGATTAACTTTGAATCTGCATTCAATTGTTCTTTGATTATGTGTGTTCTTTATCACCAATCCCCCATATTTCTGCTGCTTTGATTAAATCAAATAAATTTTTCTCCAAAGAAATTGCTCTTGATCCAAAATTTACCCAAAATGATGCCTACACATGGTACAACAATATGTCTAATGTACTTTAGTACAGTAGTACATGGAAAAGTAAATATTTGGTATTACAGATAAACCTCAAAAAGTCAAACCTCCTTAAGTCAAACTCCTCCCTAAGTCAAATCTTTTTCAAGCCCCTGTCTGAATTCCCTTAGAATCAATGCATTAAAAAACTAAATTATTTTTCCTCAAAAACCTCTGTAAGTTGAATTTTCTGAGGCCTTCTTGTTCTATTTTCTTGAAGTATGAAACAGAAAAACATTGAAACAAATCATTTGATGCATCTTGAAAGAAAGTAAAAAACTGATGAAACAAATGTACCCCTATCTCCAAGTTCATCAAGGTATAAACTCATTATAAGGAGCAAGTTTAGGCCCAGAATATCCTTATTTACAATTCCCCACACTTTTTTCACTTCTCCTCACAACAAAAGCGTTTGTTTCCTTAACTGGAAACCTCAAAAAACCAAAACCTCCCTAAGTCAAAACCATTTCTGAGTCAAATTTTTTTCCTGGTCCCCAGAAATTTGACTCGCAGAGGTTCAACTAAATCAAAAATAACCATAGAATGGTAAGGTATTGAAAGAAAGAAAGATTGGCTCCCTCAGGAAATCTGCACTAATAAACCAAAAGTGCGGGATAATGTCATAAATCTGATGTAAAAATTGCATTAATTCAATATCAATGAGTAATAAAAACGTTATTTTACTGGGCTAATTTTAAAAATGTATTTAGAAAACCAGAAATAACTCAGGCGTCATCTTAACCGTCTTACACGTGCTTAAAAATATACCGGAAGTTATTTCCGGAAATCTCTCCTCCCACTGAACAAATCACCTGCAGAAGGGATTTTAATCCACATTTTAATAACATATTAATAACGTTTTTGATGACAAAACAGGTAATTGTTTTCTGGATTTAAATAAATAAAATAAAATAAATCGAGGATTTTTTGCTTGTTTCAAAGTTTTAAAGAATGGAAGATGAGTTTCCCACGAAGGCAAGTTTTTGAATTCTCACAAATTCCTTCAGAAATGGTTCAAATCTTTTAAAATTTAAAAAAATCAAGATTTCAAAATAATTATCTACACCTGAGTTGTTTTTTTATGAATCATACATATACGAGCGTTTCTGCTTCGGAGTTAGTCTGGAAGGATTTCAGAAAATATATTTTGATATCCTGAATTGTGTTTATGCGATAGGTTTTACAATTTCATTGGAGAGAACCCATAACCAAGGAGTGACATCTATGCACCCACAACAAAAAAATTTCCCCAAGTTATAAGAACATTATGCAAATTATCAGATATGGTGGATTTCCAGAAAAGAACCAATAACATTTTTTTTATGGAAGCAACCCACATAATCACTATAAACAAGATTAGTCTGAAAGGATTTCAAAAAATATATATTTTGATATCCTGAATTGCGCAGATGTAATAGGTTGTACTGGTGATGCCTTGCAATTCAACCTCCCACAATTTGACCATTCTGCCATTTGACAGTTGATTTGTAAGGAGGTTGACTTGCAATTTGACCTCTGCCCTGGAATTTGACCTGCTTTGGCCACTTTTTCATTTCTTGTGCTGATATTTCTCAACTTTACAAAGTGTCTTGCAATTTGACTTCAGTTTGGCAATGGATTAAGATCAAATTGCAAGGTTCCACCTGTACAAAGTCATTGGAAAGAACCCAGCACCATGAGAGTGACATCTACACACCAACAACAGTATATTTAATGCATTAAAGGCTTCTTTAAAAGTAACTGTAGTGTAGGGGAACCTCTTAAAAGTTCCTTCAAAGACCAGTGAAGGTCAATTATTCTGGTTAACCTGTTGATCTTCTGAATTGAGATGCAGTTAACTTGCTCTAAACCGAAAAGAGTACAATAAACCCATAATCCTCATTACTGGTGGCAGCGGTTCTCTTTCCAGTAAGAAATTCACTCAAGAGAGTTTCGGATTACTTGAATAAGAGCATCTTTAGTAAAGAATTTTTTGCTTGGGAAATGGTGTTGCTTCTGATGCAACAA